CTATTTAAATTCCCTCCCCTGAGGTCATAGTTACTTTTTAAAAATATCAACTAGTATGTGATTTTTTGTTTTCTCCCTTTTGCTTGGATCATGCCTCTAACAGGAAAAAGTTTATATAAGGTTGCAACCTTAAAATGTCGAATTACAGATGCACTTCAAAAATTTATTGGAAAGGTTGTTTTAATGTTGAAAAATCCTCTATTTGATCATCTCTACATCGAGATGATCAAATATAAAAGAAAAACGTTTTTGAGTCTCAAAAATAATGCATCTTGCAACACATTATCTAGGCCGTCCATTTTCAAGATTTTCATGTGTTTATAGATCTCCTTGATTTTAACTATTTTTGGAGTTTAAAATTTTATAATTAGATATGAAAATAAACTTTTAGATAATCCTACGAATTTTTTAAACGAAAATTACATATTGTCCTTAATTGGATTGTTTAAGGTTACATTGTTATAGAAATCATAATTTGTTCAAAATAATTTGCTAAAAATTACTCATTTTTGGCCGCAAATAGCTAAAACTAGTTAATAATCATCGAAAAAGTACCATAATTAAATAATGAGTAATTATCATATAAGACCCTCCCCCACCTATGCGTGTAGGACCCCAAAGGATCACCATTAAAGTTGACACAGATCTTTAGAAAAGTTATCACATAGGTGTGGGACTTAACTTTTCTATAGATCCGTGCCAAATTTAATGGTGATCCTTTGAGATCTTACACATATGGGTGGGGAAAAATCCCATAGGATCATTTCTCTTATATAATATTTATAAATAATACAAGATGCATACCAAACAACTAACAACATAATTTAATTCTGCTTTAATTTTAGATACGATAGTCTATTCCAAATAACGTTAGTTAATAGGACCATCGTCTTGAATCAGTCTCACTCACGAACCTCTTTAGTCTCTCCTCACATGTCTCCTGGTATGTGTCATGGATTTTCAGATGCTAAATTTCTAGTTATACAGCCCCACTTAATTAATTCCTTCGGTCTCCGAATTTAACCTCCCTATGATCCAATTGTTCTTGAGGTTCTTGCCCCTAGCGAGTTTCTCAAGGCTTTTGGTGGAGTTCTTTAATGCAGGAAGCTAAAATTGGGGTGATTTTTAAAAGGGAAAGGTGAATCCCTATGCCTGACATCAAGTGGGGGGCATGAAGGACTAACACAAAGGCATGTTCCTCAATGGATCTAGATCGGGTTCTCCACACCTCAATTTAACCCCTTGATTTTGATAATCAATCTGGCAAGAGCTTTGTAATGATCTTTGTCTTTTTGTTCTTGAATCTATGTTCCAGTAAAAAAAAAGAAAAAATAAAGTAAGCCACATGTTTTCCGGGCACATGCGTAGGGAGAAGAGTGGTCCTGAAGTCCCTTGAGGTGAAAGATGATGGCAGGGATTATTTTAGATGACCAGGCTTCCCTGTTAGAGTATGATTAGCTGAAATCCACAATTTCCCATAGCCATTTTTCTTGCTGGAATGCCTAAAATGGCTTTCCAGCGGTAGTGAATCGCTTTGATGCCTAGGTCTAGATAAAACTCCTCACCGAGCTGCTCAAGTCCACATAAATTTCTCACCAAGAATGGCAACGGGATGGACCAGCCTCGCTCCTAGTTTCCATAAAATTCGCCCAAGCCCAGCCAGGCAAGGGAAAAAAAAAAAAAAGAGAGCCGGTCCAGGCCAAAGCCCCCAAATTAGGCTTTGGCCCCAGCCGGCTCTACCCTCAAGTTGTAGTTGCCCTGGCCCTTGAGCCACATTTTGTAGCCCAAGCCTTAGGAAAAAGTTTATATAAGGTTGCGACTTTAAAAGGTAGAATTAAAGATACACCTAAAAAACCCATTGAAAAATGTTGTTTTAATGTTGAAAAACCCTCCCTCAAAAATCTATTGAAAAATATTGTTTTAATATTGAAAAACCCTCTAATTGATCATTTGGACATCAAGATGTATGAATATAAAAAAAAAAAAAATTGAATCCTAAAAATAATCCACCTTGTAACACATTATCTAGACCATCCATTTTCAAGATTTTTATGTCTTTTCAAGATTTTTATATGTTAATAGATCTACTTGATTTTAACCATTGGAGTTTAAAATTTTATATTTAGATATTAAAATAAATTTTCACATAATCTTAAGAATATTTTACATCAAAATTACATGTTATGATAAAATTTAGAAGTGCGCCTTAATTGGATTGTTTAAGGTTGCAACCTTATTGAAATGGCACCCTTCGAAATATACCATCTAAGTTTGCTCCTGTTTGCTCTCTTGTCCTACCTCCATTCTACTGTCTATGGAGAGTAACTTTGGAACCTAGGCTCACTCAATTTTCTCTCTCCATCTCGTATTCCCAACTCCACCCATCATCTCTCCGTTCCCTCTTCTTCGAAGGGACTTTCTCTCTCTTTTAGGAGACTCAAACCAAGAACCTAGTATATCCTTCTCTGCCCAGCCCAAACAATAAATACCATAAATCACAGGGATTTTATCAACAAAAACCTCACATTCACCAGGTTTCATTGCGAGTTCATATAAGACAGTTAATGTGGGACCAAATAAAGTTGTTAAAGAAGTTCTGGGAAAAGGGAATAAGTCTATAGATTCTTGGGTCTCAGTACCTCTGGCTGTGATTTCATAGTATTCAGGATAGAACACCCACAACTTTAAATTCCTTTGATATTCATAATATGTGCCCACATTCCATCAGAAATGGATTGCCATCCACAATAATGTGGAACCACAGTTTTCATCAAAAAGTCGTGGAAAAAGGGAATGAGTCTTTTGGTTCATGGGATTAAATACCTCTGGCTGATTTCATATTGTGCAGGACAGAACACCACATAACTGTACATCAAATTCCTTAACTTTTCATAGTACTGTGACCACATTCCATCAGATATGGATTGCTAGCCACAATAATTTGGAACTACAATTTTCCATCAAAATCCTTTGCTTGCCATTTTGTGAATTAACATACATTAGACATAATAAAAAATCTATTTTAATCAATATTCCTTTGTACATCATGTCCATCAATGCCTTCATCGTATACAAGCGCTTCTTTTGCATGCAATTTTTTCTATGAGCAGCATAGCGGATCTCGCACTGGAGGGAATTGCTAGACAGAAAAGGCCAAGGGTTTGTGGCTTAGGATAAAGAGAGAAGTTAGAGGGGGCATGTGAGCACTTGGATAAGTAGAGAGCGGGGGTACATTTGGTTGGGTAAAGAGAGAAGGCTAGATTTTGCAGGTTAGAGAGAGCGAGCTGTTCGATTTAGGGTATGAGGGAGCTTTAGGTTGTTGAATTTGTGTGGAGAAAAGGAGACATTACCTAGCAATCATCCAGCATGAAGCAATAGTATAGGCATGAAGCTATGAGAGCTCCAGGAGACGCAGGAGAAGATGTAGAAACATAAATTTGAAGAAGGAAAGAAAATCTAGAGGAAGTACTAAAACGGTCATTTTGGAAGCACAAAAGAAAAGGTTGAAAAAGTGGCATTGGTGAGATGCTTTGAAGATTTTATAAACTAACCTGACAAAAATGAGGCTTTCCCTTAATAAAAAGAATTTAGAACTGTTATTTACTCGTGTGCTCTGCTGAGATTTGTCAGTGTAGCCATCTCAAACTATGCCAAAATATGTGGTATTCACATATCTACCACTCCTCTATTTCATCTTCTTCACTTTCCCCTGAAATATGAATATCTAAATCATAAATACTTGCTTGTCTGATGCTACTGGTACCCACTTGAGTGGTTGATTCATCAGTAGCCATCCAATCAGGTTGTTCACCCATGCGAATATCCTGTTGCTCTGGTTTATAGATTTGGGAATTCTGTGTGTGTGCAGAGAGAGAGGAAACCTTTGACCCAAGTAATTGCAATGCATATTGATATTCAGTAGTCATGACAGAGAACCCACAGATGCTGAAACAGCACTGAGCTTCACACCACTTTGATAGAATCTCATTCTGCACTCACAAAGAAAACGCAGGAGAAAAAATGTGGGGTTACTGCATTTCCACTAGTAAAAGACTAAGTAGAAGTAGATCTAACTAGAAAAAATGGATCACTATCTAAACTTACTTCAATATCATACCTTTTTAATGAAAGATAATTGCTTGATCTGCCACAGCTTTGGGCTCCGTATGGAGTGCCACCTGCACATTAATGAGAATATGGCATCTCTAGGCCCTAAATCTATATGTTTTGGTTACAAATGACAACATAAAATATAGGGAAAATTTACAGAAAAACAGGAAAACATTTGTGGTATCATGGGATGCTCTATATTTTCCCCAAATTTTGCGGAGATCCTACTTTGTCGTTTTGTTTTTATTTTTTCCAAATTTGCCCCCAAACAGATTTTTTTATTTTTTATTTTTTCTTTAAACTATAGATTTGTCAGATAGCCTGGGGATCAATTTGGGGTCCATCCCGATGTTTCAAACATCGGACTGTCCTAAAGTTGGGCTGTTCGATGTCCCAAACATGGGACAACTCCATTTAGGCTTCTTCCCTTGTTTGGGTCAATCCAATGTTTGAAACATCAGATTGGCACATTATTCTTATTCTATTTCATATCGGTTAAATGATTGAAACATTGGACCACCTTGTTTTATATTTTTTATTTTTTTATTTTTTGTGGTTAAAGTGACCAGTCCAGTCCGGTTTTTCAAACATCAAACCATATTTTTCCAACTTTTTCTTTTTGTGCATGCATGCACCATACATATGCAAGCATGTGCAAATGCAAGCATGCGTATTTACAATCTCTCTATAAAGTTTATACCATAAGGCATAGTACAAACTTTACACTATATAAGTACAAATTAGTTCAAAAAGAAATAGATAAGCGAATGTCATATTTCCACCAATATTTTATGTGACAATACTTGAATGCAAAACCAATCCATTTGATATTTCAACTAAGAAATAGAAAGTAGAAATCTCTACTTGCTTGGTCAAAATTTGAGACTCCGTAACCATCCTATGCATAAAAGAAGGCGACAAAGTAGAACCTGCACATATATTTGGGGAAAATATGGAACATCCCATACCACACATATTTTCCTGTTTTTCTGTAAATTTTCCTAAAATATAGAGATCAAACCTGGAAGGCAATGGGTGTGAATTTCCAAATAACACACCACGAACGGCAACAGAAGCAGCCACTTGTTGGGAAACATTTTTGGAGTCATGTCTGCTCAATATAGATGACGAACCTGATGATCCGCGAATAGTAAGAGTGGCTGAAAGGCAGTCAGAGTCACTCAAATAAGAGGCAATTGTCACTGCATCATCCACTGCTTCATCGCTGATAAAATCTAAAACTGCAAAACGAAATGTAGGTCCTCAAGCATTTATTAACTAAGAAACTGCAAATTACTGTACATTAAAACTGAAGAGATTTGGAGGAATTTTTTATGAGCTACCCAGACAGTAGCAGAGGCCAACCAGATAGACAAATAACCCAAAATTCCAATAGGTTTATATGGATTATTTAATTTCTGATTTAAACTCAATGATGTGGAATTTAAAAGTAACTTCTAAGGGCTTTATCTTTATTTTCACTTTTCTAGCTTTAGTAGTTGTTCGCATAGTTCCCAGGTGCAAGCAACACACCCTTATAGATGTTAGTAGCAGTAACTTGGGAAGAACCAAGGTTTCTCTACTGCACTTTGATTTTGACGTCTTGGGTATGGAATGGAAATGAAATTGGCTGTGGTTGAACAGAGAAACAGTTCCAAGTATATATGGAAAAGTGAAGTATTATCGAGAATCCTTAATCTTTTAGGGCCAGTTCGATGTACTCAAGTGTTACAGAGTTTTGGATGACACAATCAAATTCTCTCTCTATAAAGGTCTTGAACTTTTCAGTGATTGAAGAATTTTGGCTCACATACAAAATCTTTCATTTGGAGCCAAAAACAGTTATTTTGGCTGAACTCATTGGGCCTCAGCCCTCCTTTCTCGCATGCAGCCTCACCTCCATATGTTCACCAGTCTGTGTGTGTGTGTGTGTGTTCAACCAAACACTTTATGCACACAATAAAATCTAGTAATATTTTTAAAATCAGCATGAAAAAACTTAGTTTTTTGATGAGAAGAATATTAAATGATGCATCCAAACTGGTCCTCAGCAATAAAAGAAATATTGCAAGAGGTGCTTGAATGCATGATATGTGCTTCGATATAATTCAAGAGCACATCAATTATATAAAGACCCATCAAATGATGGGGTTTACTATGACACAAGTTTCTAGTCAACATGAAAAACAGAAATGCTTTCCAAATGTTCCAGTCCTGAATCCTAGGAACAAACTCATAAAACGCCTTTGAGATGCCCCAGACTCAGTTTGTACAAGTCCTAGGTGCAAAGTCATTTATATAAAAATAAATAAATAAAATCATAAAAAACAGATTTTTTACTACATCAATGAATAAATATTTCATACATAGTTTTGATTTTTTTTATGATAATTTGTGCGTTTTTCTTATCATATGCTATATTTTTCTATTTTCCCTTTTTTTGGATTTTTCTAAAAAGGTTTTCCCCTTTTTTTGGATTTTTTGAATTGTTTTCATCTATAAATCATTTTTCACCCAAGTTCCATCTTTTATAAATTCGTTTTCATCTTTTTTGACTTTTGATGTTGTTTATAGTTTCTGCTGTTTACTCTTTTTCTTTAGTTGTTAACAAATATTTTATTACTTTTAAGCCCTTTTTTTGGGCTCATAGCCTCGTACGCTACTAGGGCGAGTCCAAGTGGACTCACCAACCTTTCACAAGATTTAAATATTTCAAAACACTCATACCTCACACCAAACACCCAGTGAAATATTGGTATTTTTGAACATCAGTATCTAAGCAAATAAGTCTCCCTGTGCGATATTGGTGTTCTAAAATACATTATCTCACCAAGTCACACATGAGATGTATTTTCGAATGCCAATATATCAGTATTGGTATTTGAAAATACCAATCTCACAATGCTGGGTTTTCCTAAAATCCACTTTGGTTTTGATGGGCGCCCTTCCAATACATAATCCCTTGTGAGGTGTACCTTGAAGGGATTTTAAAGGTATGACAAAAGGAATGGGTGAAATGTTAAATGGTGAATCTCTTGCGTGTATTTTCAGAACCTTCCCAAGATTTAGAGATTGATTTCCTTGCTAGTGCATGTGCACCTTCATTAGACTCTCTCTACAACTGCTGCAAGGACATGCTAAAGTTGCTCAAGCAGTCTCATATCTCATCAAACATGTGCAAGCACCAGGGGCAGTCCCCTCACCATTAGCTACATGAGAATTTTGCTTGAATCCCCCCTCAATGATTATGGTTCCCCAATTAAGGCCTGGGTTTCTTGAGACCAATGAGCAAGGACCCTGCCTCAGCTTCGTCAGAATCATATATAAATGAAGGGGCTCGAATAAGTCATCAATATTTTCCATTGATGATCCCCACAATACCCCTTGCACCTGCATGGCTTGTATTCCCACTTGAACTCCCATCAAAATTTAGTATCATTGCTCCTCCTTCCAGAGGCAGGATCCATTTTGGAGGCCTCGTCTATCTACTTTCCCTTTTTTTCACAATATCCTTCAAAGGTTTCTCATACGAAGTATCCCAAAACTCTTTACTCAATCTTGCTCAATGACTGTACCCTATGCCTTTCATACTTAAACAGTCCTTTCATAGGATTAAGAAACCATATGAGATCAAACATTTCAAACTTCTAAGACAATAAACTAATCACGGTAGAACTAAAACACCTGTTGATCTTTCCCAACCATATGGTCCATATTACTGCTGTAATGGTTGATCTCCAAAGGACAAGACCCACCTTTTGTAGCTGTGGGTTAGACCATTGCACTAACAGTCCTTTCATAGGATTAAGAAACCATATTGGATCAAACATTTCAAACTTCTAAGACAATAAACTAATCACAGTAGAACTAGTGCATAGCAAAAACAATTGGCTTACTATTTCAGCATCATTTTTGCACATTAAACAAATGTTGGGCATGGATGCGAAAAAAGGTCTGCCTTCCACCTAGGCTGCTGTCACACCACCCATATAGGGGGCCAGAGTTCCCCGCCTAGACCTAGGTAGATCTTCTTGGGCAGCCACCCAGGCAGCACCTAGGTGGGCACTTAGCGCATAGGCCAAGGCACCAACCTAGTTCATTCCTTGCCTGAGGGTGAAACGTGCTCTTGGGCAAGTGGCATATGGGTGATATTTCCCCATCTTAAAGCAAGGTGGGTGACATGACTCTAGGATCTTAGCACATTGGAACCAAGAGTCATGGAAACCTTAGGACAATCATGAGGAGGATTGGTGTAGCTATGAGAGGCACCTGGAGGTTTCAGGATTGCCTCTAGTCAGGGTCGATTATTATTGTTATTGTTACAGAGCTCGATTGGGCCCCATGACAAGATCATTGGGTACGGGCAATGTGATTTTATGTGAGCTCGATGATTAGCCGGTATGGGAAGGTTAGGACAACAGAGGGCATTGGCCTAAATCCCTGACTCTTAGAACCTTCTCATAGCATGTACATAAACAGTCGCCAAGCATGGGAAGCCGACTCTTTTAAGGATCTACTAAGAAAAGGTATGCAAATATGCCAAAAGAGGAAATCCCGGACCTTGTGTGTGCACGTCTTCTAGAGGGCGCACCTGAATCCACTTGTACTTGGGGATTCAGGGTCACTCGTTGGTTTGACTTTGATAAGCTAATATCATGAGCCCCTGATTATACATTGTGGATCATGAGTCTGTTGGGTCATACCGAGAAGGTGGCTTTGGATTCTAGATCAAACCAAGTGGAGTGCTCCAATTTTTAATTCAACTCCATAAGATCCTAATTTCCTTTGGAAATGTTTTTAAAAATAGTGAAAATGGTTTATTTTGATGGAAAATTATTAAAATAATTTTTGTAGATTTTTGGAAATTTTTCAAATTTTTTTGGGAAAAAAAAGGGGTTTTTCAGAATTCTTTTTGCAAAAAGATGATTAAGGACAGACCCCCGAGACCCACACAAGACACCCAAATGACAAATGGGTGTCCATGTGGGGCATGGGGGCCACCACATCAGTTCCACATGCAGATGACGTGGGGGTGACGTTATCCCCCATGATGACCTTCAAGGTCATTACGTAATTTGTGATGTGTGGGTATGTTTTATTATACTGGATTTTGTGCTATTTTGGAAATTGAGAAAATTAATTTTAGCATATGTTAAACGTGCAAAGTAAGTGGTTTGTACACATGTGTGAGCCCTTCTAGAAGGAGTATAAGGTTTGTAATCATAATCTAAACCCTAAAGGTATGTGGTAATTGTACACTTAACCACCTAGCTTATGTGGCATGATTTGATTAGCCCCACATACACTTATAAAATGGAGGGACGTTTTGAAATTTGATTTTTACTGAAATTTTAACAAATTAGCTCAAGGGTATGCCTTCCAACTTGGGTTTAAGTTCAATTATATGATAAGAACAAGAGTATTTTAATACAAGGGAAATTGGAGTGAATTATAGTTATTAAAATGGAGGATAAGGGTGTTAAATCCATACTACACATCAAGATAGAATGATGGTGGATGGTGGGCTAGGATCAAGATTACAGCACATCTAAAGCATCTCTATACTCAACACTATAAATACCCCTTTAAATCTCTACATTTATATACATCTTTTCTCTCACTAGATTGGAATGCCACTCTCTCTCTCTCTCTCTCTCTCTCTCTCTCTCTCTCTCTCTC